CGATGCGACTTCCCTCCACTTTATTTTCGACCACGTGCCTCCGTAGGTTCCTCGAGAGGGTAGGATAAACACGCCATTGACTAAGAAAATTAGACCTGTCTGCTTCAGTGTCAAGGATAACACAAGTTCACTGAATTGTTCAACTGACAATTTACTGGCAGACAGGTACTTGCAAGAAGCTGGTTCGCTCGGTTGGATTATCTCGGCACCGAACAGGCTGGCGACATCAACTCATCCACATTATTTAATTCTGACATCGCCATAGGACTTTCAAAGAAATGTATCATTGATCTTGCTTGATGCCCTAGTGAAAACGACGATTGGTGTTATGTGGTTGCCAGGAGAGCTGAGGGAGAGGCGGCGACGGTCGGGCTACAGTAACCACGGCGCTACAGTATGTGCGGACACTGTTCACGCGAGGGGAGAGAGGGTAGGAACGGCTGGCTCCCAGGGGAAGCCAGCAACTTAATTGTTGCTTTTTGCTTGACTATAACTGATACAAGGTTATCTTTTTATAGAGATGACTGACTTGACCCCTAATGAAATATTCTACGGTACCGCGTGCTACAGTACACACGTGGGCCCTGGCTGGCTCCACTTGCCATGACACTACTCCGCCCCTCCAAGACAGCTCGTCCTCGAGCTGTGGCAATTGCTGGAGCAAAAGACCTCGCAGTCCAGAGAAGATCGCCATGACAGACTTGCTGAAGGAGATCAATGTTGCGGTTGTAGTCGAGGCGGAAGGCATATGGCTCCCCAAAATCAACTCTGTATCCCATGGGATCTGCTTCTGTAGTGGTGCATGATCCATACCTTCCTCCTCGTCCATCTGATATGCCTAGAATCAAATCCGCCCGGCTCGAATCCATGGAGCGCCTGCACGTGGAGTCGATGGTGCCCTCCACGAGCAGCCACCCCCGCTATGAGTGCAGCAGAGCGGGGCTGTGTTGGAGGCGTACTCTAAGCGACCGATGGAGCTTTGAAAGCCTGATAATAAGCCGGCGGAGAATAAGCGCATGCAAACAGCCATGGCCCTGCTCGAGGGATCGGTGCTGCGGCTCGTAGAGGCAGCGACAAAGGCACCATGTCCGCCAATGTTGGTGCATAGATGATCGCCTGCATTGGTGACACTAGTGCCTGCGGGGTTGTTGGCGAAGCTGGTGATGAGACTACCGGAGTTGTGGCAGCCGGGGCCTTCATTGGTGATGTGACCATGGTGGGGGAAGAGGAGCGCAACGATGTAGCTGACACCGTCGTTGTTGGTGATGGCACCGATGCAGCAAGTGGCGTAGCAGTGTGGAACTACACTGGCACCACTACGGCTGCCGATGGCGCTGCTGGCGACGTCGTTAAGGACGGCGGTGCAGCAACCACAGCGGAATCGATCCGATCCGATTCGGCGAAGTGGACGGCCGCTGGTGCCTCGTCGAAACCGCGCAGCTGGTTGCAGGCGATGATCTGCATGAGCTCCTCCATGTGCAAGGCGTGCTCGAGAGTCTTGTCGGCGGCGGTGGCATCGACAAGATCATGTTGATCTATGCCATCCATAGCCACGGACCCCCTGCTGCAGCACAGGGTCCTCCACCACAACTGCGGCTGGGGTGCATAGGGCCCGACGAGGAAGGCCCTGATGTCCGCCACGGCCTGCCCTAATTCCAGGATTGCGGCCGTCATCTGCTCTGGGGTGATGACGAGGGCGGATGGCGCCAGGGCAGAGGGCGCAATCGCCCCTGAGGACGCCAGCGCGCCCAATGCCGGCGCGCCTGCTGTGTGGGGCAGCAGCGCCGACGAAGACGCTGGTGGCGGCAGGTGGGTGTGCGGCGACGGCGGGTGGGAAGAACTCGGTAGAAGGCTGGACATGATCGAACCAGAGATCTCTGATACCAGATTGTTATGTGACTGCTAGGATTGAGATGGAAAGAGCTGAGGGAGAGGCGGCGGTGGGCGGGCTACAGTACCCGCGCGCTACTGTTCATGGCTAGGGCTGCGAGGGAGGCTGGAGGCCGGCCGGGGGCCTTGCCCACGGCCAAGCAAGAGGAAAGGGATTTTCTTTTTAATTCTTGTTTGATTAGATCGATACATCTCCTCTCCTTATATAGAGATTTTTACTTGACTTCCAAGCAAGGCTTACTTGACCCTTAAGTAAGCGACCCTTATCTCTAATTAACCCTAACACTAATGGGCTATACAGCCAACCCAGGCCCAATAGGCCTGGCCAGGCTATAGGACGACAGTCGTCTCCATAATCGGCGCCCAGTAGATCCCAGTCACGGGTGAGAAGTTGTAGCAGATCGAGCAGCCGATGGACATCGCGATGACGTCGGCGGAGAAGATGCTTACCCACCAGGTGTCGGCTGCGGTGCGGCTGCAGGCTACTACGCTGTGGCCTCCTAGCACGTCGGCGGGTGCGGAAGATGCGCGATCTGTAGCTGATTCAGCCCTGCACTCCTTCACAGCTCCTCCAAGTTGCGCTTCGCTGCGCGGAGGACCTTGATCTCGTCCGCTGCGTTGGGGATCTCGGGCATGCGGTTCCCCCCACGGGCGGCGGGCATGCTATTTTCCCTACGGGCGGCGGTTGGGGAGGCGCATCCCTCCACCTCGTTCTCCATCGAAAGTCCTCCGCTCTTTTCTGTGCGGTGCAGACCAGCAGCCGTCTGGCGGGGAGAAGGCGTGGGGTCACCAGCGAGAGTGCACCGCGTAGCGCCGTCACATGGTCACTGTTGCGACCACTTCTAGGTGGCCATACACATGTACCCCTTTCGTATAGATGGTGTCCATGGGATCTAGGAGGCTGTACACATGCAGGTTTTGCGTACGGATGGTGTCCACCTTATGTTCAGGAGTAAAAAATAAAGAGTCCTAGTTCATTTCAGGTTGAGAATAATAAAATAAGCCAAGATGTAAAAGGCTTGTTTTTATGTGTTAGGAGTCGAGTCAGCGTTATAAGTTCGTTAGGTTGTAGCTCGAGGACGAGCTGCATGTTCAGGTTGGGTGTAGTGTTAGAGCACGTCAGGGGCCTATTGGGCCTGGGTTGGCTGTATAGCCCATTAGTGTTAGGGTTAATTAGAGATAAAGGTCGCTTACTTAAGGGTCAAGTAAGCCTTACTTGGAAGTCAAGTAAACCTCTATATATAAGGAGATGAGATGTATCGATCTAATCGAGCAAGAATTAAAAATGAAATCCCTTCCCTCTTGCTCGGCCGTGGGCAAGGCCCCCGTCCGGCCTCCAGCCACCCTCATAGCCCTAGCCGTGAACATTAGCGCACGGGTACTGTAGCCCGCTCGCCGCCGCCTCTCCCTCAGCTCTCTCCCTCTCAATCCTAGCAGCCGCGTAACAATTGGCCTTTCCATCTCTGAAGAGAGGACAAAGGCCAGTGCCCACTCAACGACCACACTGAGTCCAAATTTTATATTCTTTTACTGCAGTGACATAATCACTACTGTAGACTGTAGTGACATAATCAGCTAATTTATAAAAAGACTAGTCCCGGGTGCCTGTGACGATGATATTATTATTATTACAAGATTGTAATCTTCATGAGATGCAAGAGAAAGAAAAAGATAAATCTAAGGAAAAGTCAGAAAATTTTTGTCTGCCAAAATATCTTACTATTACTAATTAGAGGCTCCATCAGAGCCGCCATGACAATTCGCACAAGTTGCGCTAGAGAAAAAAGATACATTCTTAAAATTCTCATAATAATCAGAAACATTTAGTCTTTAATTTGGTAGACGCTAATCATCATCTTCGATAAGAGACATTAGATCATTATGTTATATAAAAAATTACCCACCTCTATTATTATGAAAATAGATAAAGTAACCCCTTAAATTTGTATGTAAATCACCCACATCCACCATTATGAAAGATAATCCAAATAACCCTCCTAGATGTGTATCTAAATAAGCACCTTTAACGTTATAAAAATGTTTCAAAATCCACCCCCCCCCAATTTGCATGTAAATGACCCGCATATACCATGTGTGAATGATAATTCAAAAGAACCCGTAAAATATTACCTAAATTACCCATTTCTACCATTACGAAAGATAATTTAATGCACATATGTAATTGTGTAAAACGACATAGAATTAACCCATGAATCTATTTTAATTTATCCACCTATGCCATTAACAAACATGATCTAAAGTGAACCTAAATTTGCTTCTAATTACCCACTTACTATTATGATAGATAATCTGTGTAACCCCTTAAATTTGCATCTAAATTTTGTCATTAATATCTAAACTGCCAACATCTTCTATTGCAAAAAATAATCATCAATCATATGCATATATTTCTACATTACCCACTTTTGCTAATTTTAATATATTAAATTTTGATTAAAGTAATATACATGTTGTACCATCATGCAGATCAAGTACACATGCATGTATGAGCAATAAGTATACATATAAATGTTATGTTTCATGAAAAATAATTTCTTAATGACTCCTATACTAATGATACTAACAAATTAATTAAAACTAAATTAATAACCATAACATACAATTTATATAAGTTGTTACTTTTGATATATTTATACATCATTTTACTTAAATGTTTGATAACTTGTACTCCCTCTATCCCGAAATAAGTGTACATCTCATATCCCGGGAGTTAACTCTCAAATTTGACAAAATATTTATAAAAATATACTAATGTTTATGATACAAAACAAACATTATTAGATTAATCATGCCTTTTATTTTTATAGTAAACTTATTTAGAGATATAAATATCAATATTATTTTTTCTAAATCTAGTCAAACTTAAAATCGTCTGATGTGCACTTCTTCTAGAACAGAGAGAATATGTCCATGACAACCAGACAGCCCCTAAGTCCGTGATAACTCACTATCATTGCGGCAGCACAGCACTCCACCGTACCCCAGCTAGGCACCTATCCTGCCCCCGCGACAGGCGAGACCAACTATCATCCTGTCGCCGGCCGGCCGACGGAAGGAGAAGGGTGGGAAGCAGGGAGCCTCCATCAACCATGACTGAGCTGGCGGCTGGTGCCGTGAGCTCACTGCTGGTCGTCGTCCGCAACGAGGCGTTGCTGCTTGGCGGCATCCGGGACGACGTGCAGTTCATTAAGGAGGAGATGGAGAGCATGAAGAGTTTCCTGGCGCACCTAGCCCGGAGCACGCCCCCCGGCAGGGAGCACGACGAGCAGGTGCGCACCTGGATGAACCAGGTGCGGCTGCTCGCCCAGGACTGCCACAAACTGCATCGACCTCTACCTGTACAGCGGGAACCCCGACATCCACCGTGCCAAGGGCAGGCTCCGGCGCTACCTCTGGTGGGTTTACTGGTTCCTGCGCAAGCTGCTCTCGCGGCGGTGCAGTTACGCCAGCTCAAGGACCGGGCGCATGATGTCGGCGAGCGACGCTTGAGGTACGGCGTGGAGGTCCCAGTGAAGCCAGGGTCGGGGCAATCGCCTCCGACAGCTGGCCGGTTAGCTGCGGCGACGGCATCTTCATCGGCACGGACTACTGCGCCCGGTGGCTATGCTGCTGCCGGAGTCGACAACGAAGAAGAAGAAGATGAAGAAGATGGTGACGACGACCAACTCGTGGGGGCAACGGCGACCGGCGGTCACTCTGGTCGAAGAGCCTTCATTCACCCTCACACTCTGGACGACTACGTTAAGGCAAAGCTATGGGAGTGGGGAGGAAAAATTCCTCAAGACGCCGGCAAAAGTCTGTCCATGGTCATTATGGCACCGTATATATATCAGGATCTCCTCGCTCTCGTACAAGAAATTTGGGTTTCCAAGGGCATGGGCTACCAACGCATGGTCTTGGTCGACATCCCGGCCGTGCACCACGATCTTATGCCTCTACGAGCCAAGGAAGTCCTCTTCTACATTCAGCGCGAGCTCAAGCAAGCGAAACCCCAACCCCAGGAGCAAGGCCCAGATGAAGGCGAAGGGGAACGGGAAATGAGGTCATATATAAGAAAATTAAAAATTGACCATGAAAAAACAGGGCTCTTTCCCTTCTTAAAATCGAGGAGAATATCAAAGAGATGAAGGTCTATGAGAAGCTTGACAAAATCAAAAGTGATATCCAAGGTCGACTATTAGGGAGTGGCGACGGACTACCCAAGGGTGACAAGGTGCTGTGTGAGCATGACCACCTAGACATTGACGTACTCCTTCAGCTGCTGCTCCATGCAGCTGTTGCTGCGTCTCAACAAGACCAAGGCAAGAACAAAAACATACCTATACCACGCAGATCGTCGAGAAGCTTAAGGTGATAGACCTAAAACAGGATCACTAGCCATAAATCTAACATGTCTACTTACTTTTGGGATAAACAGTGAGTCCTAGAACATCTACTAGTACATGATTGAAAGATAGAGTGAGAGAGAGGGGTGAAAGGGGGTGCAAACCATCGGTCGCCTTCGAGGAAGACGGGCTCACCATCGGAGTGTTTGATGAAGACCCGGTGGCGGTGCTGAGTTGAAGGGCGGCGTTGGCCGGTGGCGGTGCTTCCCGTCGTTGGCAGCGCCCCTCTGTGATCGGTTAGGGTTTAGAACTGTAGGTGGGGTGCTAGGCGGCTCAGGCGAACCTCATGTTTGGCGCCCCAGCCCCCACCTCCTATTTATGGCGCTATGCGATGGGGGCCCACCAACCATATTAGGGTTGGACGCCCCCGATCAGGGCGCGGATCCAAGGGCCCAATTGGCGGGCTAATTGGTGGAGATCAACTAACATTCCCCCCCTTGATCTCACTTATAACTTAAACTTAACTAACTTATTTTCTCTTGTTCCCATTCCATCACAGATCAGTACATAGAGCGTGCCTCATCGTCACAGTCAGTTGCCATTAGATTAAACAACTACAATGCACATCTATGTTTTGAAACAGATTCTTAACTAGGCCCTTATTGTCCAGGAATCATAAGCTTTCCCTTAAACCCATGCTGGCTAAGTGTTCTCTGAACACGTTGGGTGGTAAGCCTTTTGTAAGCGGATCCGCGACCATCTTTTCTGTTCTTATATGCTCAAGACTAATTATATGATCCCGGACTTTATCTTTCACAACATAATACTTTATGTCAATGTGTTTGGCGGCACCACTTGACTTATTGTTGTGAGCATAACATACTGCTGTATTATTATCGCAGTATAACTTAAGTGGTTTATGTATGTCGTCTACCACTTTCAACCCGGGCATAAATTTCTTTAGCCAATTCACTTGTCCTGTGGCCTCATAACATGCTATAAACTCGGCATACATTGTGGATGTTGTAGTGACGGTCTGCTTTGAGCTTTTCCACGATATAGCTCCTCCTGCGAGAGTGAATATGTATCCTAACGTGGACTTTCTTTCGTCTCCCGCATAATCAGAATCTGTGTACCCCTCTAAGTGCAGGGAATCGGATCTTCTATTTGTTAGCACGAGACCCTTCGGACCTTGCAGGTAACGCAAAACTTTCTTTACTAATTTCCAGTGTTCTATTCCTGGATTACTCTGATATCTGCTAAGCAACCCGGTAACAAATGCTAAGTCAGAGCGAGTACACACTTGAGCATACTGTAAACTTTCGACAGCTGAACTATATGGAACCACTTTCATTTGATCAATCTCATATTGGTTCCTGGGACATTGAAATTCCCCATATCTGTTGCCCTTAACTATGAGAGCAGGTGATAACTTACAATTTTGCATATTGTATTTTTTTAGAACTTTTTCTAAGTATGCCTTTTGTGATAATCCTAAAACCCCCTTTTCTCTATCTCGGTGAATTTCTGTTCCTAGGACGAACGAAGCTTTACCGAGATCCTTCATGTCAAATTTTGAGGACAAGAACTTCTTTGTTTCTAGTAGTAGATTGACATCACTGCTTGCGAGCAAGATTATGGCAGAACCGCCCGAAAATAAGCGTACTTACGGAGGCGCTTGTCTTCCACCAGACACTAAGCACCCCAAAAGCAACTACAGCGAGCGGTGTCCGTCGGGCACACCCCGAGGGAGAACCCGAAAGATCCACATTTTCCCAAGGATCCAATAATGAGAATGAGTTACAACACAAGGCCATCTCATACATTAGAGTCTCTTAAAAAGTACATTATTACAATACCAAATACAGAGTGCGGAATGATAAACAACGGAATATTAAAAAGATAACATCTAGCGATAAGATAGCGAGGAATCCGTCTGAGCCCACCAGAAGGATCCTCCACACAAGGTACTCCTCAAGCATCACTTGCAACAGGGGTAAATAAACCTTGAGTACACAATATACTCGCAAGACTTACCCGACTAGTGGGAATAATTTCCCGACTTTAAGGGGTATGATAGGCTTTATGGTATGATGGTTTTCTTTAGCAGAAAGCAATACTAATAGTGAGTCCTTATTTATGTATTATTATTAACATCCATATTAAGTTATCACATAGCCAGTCTATATAAGCACCTGTCTACTTTCAAGCAAGGGTTGAACAATCAGTTATATTTCTTCTTCGTTCTCCACTTTTAGTTTTTACTATGGTGTTAAACCGCAGACAAGCCATACCGGATCCCCCAGCGATTCGCGAATCAATGTGCCTAGCTGGGTGCCCCGAAAACACACGCCCCGCTTGTACCCTAGGCACAAGCAGGACTAACCCATCACCCTCCTGTCCCGGGTGTCCAGGTCCCCGTCCAAACTTGGACTCCAAGCCCCCACATCCTGAGTCCCGGACTCAGTGTGGTGCAAGGACCTCCACCACCTCTTTCCCATCAGTTGGTCCAAAAAGAGCCGGATCCACGACAAGAGAGCAACATGCCTTCCCTGACGCCCATACCCAAGTATGTGCTCGGGACAATAATCTGTGACTTGCCTAGAGTCATATGCAATGACCGGTCCTTAATCGACACAGACAGGAAAAAAGTGTAACCGAGCTATGCCCTGTTGGCCGCAGGACACAACCCTTTACACCCACCAATCCTCAAACCATATCCCTGCCCGGTCACCAGTTACCTTTCCACCATTTTATCATGAATGTTCATATTTTATCCCTATTTGCGAGTAACGGCAGGTTACTCACGCCACCGATATCCTAAGCATAGCAGCTACTCGACCTGTACTAGTAGGACTCATGGGTAGATATATTTATGCATGTAGTTTCCATAAAATGCATGTAACGTAAATGCATATCATATATATATTCAGTGATCATTTAAAAATAGGGGTTATGCACCGGGGCTTGCCTTGGGCAGGTGCCGGGTCAGCAAGGTCAGTACCAACAAGCTCCTGGGCTTCCTCCTGTACAAAGATCTCCTCCTCGTATTCCTCGATAACCTCGTCGTACTCCGGCTCGCCGACGGGTACGAAGTCTACCTGTTCGTGATCTACATGAAATGATGATGCAATACTATAATAAGATGACAACAACTCTTTGCCTAAAAGTACATCTATTAAACTACTAAGTGAGGTCTACCCACTAAGGCTAAGATACATACCAGCACCACTAACGAGTATGAACGTGACATACATTCTTACGGCGACTACGTATATTCCTACTCCTAACGCCAATTTACGATACATACAATAAAGCAAGGATAATAACTACGCTATTAAGCAACTCGCTCTACGGCTACCAATTTTACAACAGGTATATAAAGGTCTAAGGAACCTACTGTAACAATTTCAAAGCTAAAGTTATTGTCGGTTTGCCCCAATAATTCCTGCAATTATTGATCGATATAACGCTAAGCTTTCTACTTAAATATTATGAGCCTATCATCCTAACAGCTAACGGTGAACTAACTATACTAACAGGTAGATGGTATTTTTACGAACCTAACAAACTTAGTTTCGCTGTTTTTGGACAACCATGCAATTTACTACGATTTATCGAAGTTGGATTCATAACAGAAAATAAATAAACATTTCTATTCTCAGGAAAATAAGAAAAACCGAATCCTCTTACGTCGGCCCACAAACGTGGCTCAGCCCAGCGCGCCATCCTGCCCGTGCGCCCGACAGCAGGCCACCGCGCGGCCCACGCAGAGGCGCAGCCCAGCCGGCCAACGGCCCACGGCGGGGAAGGCCTGCGCACGCCGGCAAAAATGCACGGGCACCCCTGAAGTCCTAGATAATCTCCGCGAGCACCAGAGCACTATTTCCTCAGTCTACCGTTTTACAACTGCACCCTCCCATTTCTAGTTCTTCACCGCGGCTAAGTCCCCGGCGCCCAGGGCGCGCACCGGCACGACGGCGCGGGCACTGAGCGACCACGCCGGCCTCACCCGAACCTCTACTGCCTTCCTAAGGGGTCGATAGGTACCTTGACGACAAGTAGAAGCTACTGGAGGCGACACGGCGAGCAGAGGCGCAGTCACGAACTCCCTCCCCGGCGGTGGCCCTTGACCTACAAAGGCGGGCGCGTTCCCGTAAGCAACAGCGATGGCAAGGCCAGCACACGAGCTAGCGAGCACCAGGGAGTACCCACGGATACCTTCACGTTGACGGTTCGGTCAGAGGTGGTCTGAGCAGAGCTGGCCACATGCGCACGCGGCGGTGCGGCGGTGCCCGATGGTGGCACGACCACGGCGGTGGGGTTGGCCTGCTGCGATGCTACGGCTGAGGTGCGCGGGGTGCTCAGGAGGGTACGGCGAGGCTGTGGGTGCACCGAATTGCTACGGGGTGCTTGGTGTGGCTGGCTTGCCGTCTGGGAGCGTCCGGCCGGTCTTAAGGACCCGGTGGCGCGGTAATTCAAAATTGAAGCACAGTGAGGTGAGAACGGCAGCGTGGTGGGGTAGGTTGGACGACCGGCTGCCTAACGGAGCTAAGCGAGAGCCGGATTGGAGTCTAATGCTACGGTCACGACGAATTGAAAGTAATTGCTTCGGCGGCCAAGGGGACAACGGAGACAGGGGAGATCATGGCTTGGCTCGTCTGCGGCGTCAACGCACGGGCCACATCACCACTATGGAACAACGGGACAAGCGGGACATACCCCAGACAGCTGCCTGCACGGCCATAGTAGCAAGGCGACGAGTGCGGCATGGCGCCATCACTGCGGCCGCGCCAGACAACCGACGCAGAGCGTTGCGACGCGGAGGGGATGGCGGGGCAGGCGGACGTCCTTCGAGCGCACAGCCAAGGAGTCAATAGAGCAGAGCTGGCCTAGCCGCTGGCGACGTGCATTGAAAGGCCTGGCGCTCTCTCAGCCAAGACAGTGCAGAGCAAGGCATGGCGCGACAGTTTGGTCGGCGGGCAGCAGCGTGGCCGAGGCCGGCAGTGGCTAGGGTCACGAACAGCGC